ATAGGAAAAAATCTTTAAAAGTCTTCCTTCTCAAGAACAGCAAAACATTTTTTAGTCATATTGATAAGTAAGCATCCTCAGATAGTGTAGATTTGAGTTGTTCAAATCATTACCCCTGGGGTTAGAGTGGGGCCACAATGGGGGTTCAAAGTTTTACACAGGAATATATAGGAAGAAACTTTAAAAATCTTCTTCAGAAGAACAGCAAAGCCTTGTTTAGTCATATTGATATGTAAGCATCCTCAGGTAGTATAGATTCAAATTTGTTCAAATCATGACCCCTTGGGGTAGGGTGGGGCCACAAGGGGGATCAAAGTTTTACATAGAAATATAGGAAAAAACTTTAAAAATCTTCTTCTCAAGAACAGCAAAACCATGTTTAGTCATATTGAAATGGAAGCATTCTCATGTACTGTAGATTCAAATTTGTTCAAATCATGACCCCCAGGGGTAGGATGGGGTCATAATGGGGGGATCTAAGTTTAACATAGGAATATAAAGGAAAAATCTTTGTTTCAAGAACAGCAAAGCCATGTTTAGTCATATTGATATGGAAGCATCATCGGGTAGTGTAAATTAAATTTTGTTCCACTGATTACCCCTGGGGGTAGGGAGAGGCCACAATGGGGTATCAAATTTTTACAAAGAAATACCGTAAGTTTTGGGGTATATGTCGATGGGGTATATAGGTCGAAAGGCTCATTTTCAGCCATAATTTTTAAAAAATCCTTAGATAGGACGATTTGGAAGATAGGACGAGGCTTTGTTTATCGACTTTCTAGAGATTCTTACGTGGATACTACGTATCAGAACATGTAAAGGTCTTTAACTTAACCCATGATATTAAGGTATTGAGAAAATAAACTGGTATTTTTATGAGTAGAGCATTTTAATAGACAAGTGTTTTATACAAACATAGTTAAAACTTCCTTGAATTGTGATATAACGCATTTTCTCCAACTTGCCTGTTCAACGCCGTCGTTGTTTGACTCTGTCGTTAAACACATAAATACGGTAGTATACAACAGCTATAATTAGGGAAATACCCGAAATCAAACAATAATTATTTCCAGTTTAGAACATCGTGGACACATTCTTTTATTCCGACATTATTTACCGGGGTACAATATTAAGTGTGATGACCGCCATTTTTATAGTTCTTGTCCAGGGATTTGCTAAAACACGCAAATGACTATTACATGTAACAGTGAGCAATTGAAATTAATCATATTAACATGCTATAATTTCGCTTGAGATATTGTTGTAAAAAATAAATTAATTGAGAGTACATTCGCAATTTAACAGTCATCAGAAATTTCACAGTTTTGTTTGTTCAATGATGTATTGCACTAATACCCCTGTAACGGCACGTGGATTTGTTAATCATGCCCCGCAGGTGTTTAAACCAACAGGTGTTAACACCTTTGTGTACACAGTGTATATCCCTCTATCTGTCAGACAATTAGAATTCTATTAGAAGCCAATCTTTGTATAATTCGGTGTACCCCTTGGGATATAAAACAAAATAGTTATGATTAGCGGTATATTTAGTAAATAATTTTAGGAATTTACTGGCAACAATTTATTTCACACATTTTACATTTAAATAAATATCACAAGACAATGAAAAAATATTTAGGTATACTATTTCAATCAATCGTAACAAATAAATGGTAAAAAAAAAAATACAATTGCGATTGTGAAAACTCCTCCGCATTTTAAACTTTGATATGGTTGCGGTTTTATTTTTAGTAAACGATTGCGACTTCCAACTTCACAAGATGGACACCGCATGTTGTAAATATACTTTGAGACATTATTGATCATAAAATAAGTTTTTTTGTACATCGACGGATATTTAATGGAACTTATTTTGTAAGAAATCAATGGAATAAATATTTAATTCTTTATTGTTTATTATTTTTTTCTCGGTAAAGTAATTTTAAAAAATACGAAAATGGCACAGATTTGCTTTAAAATTGACGTAAATTTTACTTATTTTGGGGCATTTTTCATAAACTTGGGCCTTAGATAGGTCGATTCGTTAAATAGGACGACCCCAGTGGTTCTGAGGAAAAAAGTATCGTCCTATCTTCCAAAACTTACGGTATATAGGAAAAAATCTTTAAAATCTTCTACTCAAGAACAGCAAAGCCATTTGTTATATTAATATGGAAGCATCCTCAGGTAGTTTAAAATTCAAGCCCCCCCCCCTTCCCCCCCAATGTAAACTTTTCAATACTGAATTGATTTTGTGCTTTTTCCTAGCCATATGTTCAGGTGAGCGATGTGGCCCATGGGCCTCTTGTTAATCAGGCCTTGTGCATTGCACTCATGAAAATATAAAAAAAATCCTGCCCTACTTGTGAAATAAATTCCATATCCAACTACAAACACTGAATATCCTTTAATATCGTTAAAATGATATTGTCCTGGTTTAATGATAGTATTTATTCAGTGTATTGGCAATGAAGCAAAATAATCTCGATAACTTGAACTCTGTGCATTTTCTATTATCAATCCAGAGAGTTCAGAATGTCAACATGGTGGGTAAATTTGAAATGAGGAAAAACATTGAGAATAAGTTGAATTTTCGTATTTATATGGATTATATTTTAGATTAATTAAAAGGCATATACAATCTAAAAAAAAGTTCGTTATAATTAATTTGGTAGTTATTTTCAGCGCAACTCTTTTTGTATTCTTCAAAATCATTTCGGAGCGGATCTGCTCAGACTTGCTACATTGCAAGTATATGGGACATATTCTAACTGTGGAGTTAAAACTAATCATAAAAATGCAAGCATCTTTGGTGCAGATTCAGATTTATTTATGGCTCCAAGGGGTAGGAAGGGGTAACAATAGGGAGTCTTAAGTACCACAGAGAATATATTAAATAAGGTCATTCCAAGTTTTTTCTCTGTTTAGCGTCCACCCCATCTTTCAAAAAAAACCTACCTACCTATTTTCAATAAAGACACAAATCAAAAAATAAAACACAGACTTTATAGTCATAAAAATGATGTCATTCAAAGGAGTTGATTTCATTTATATATTTTTCTCGTAGAAAGATCTATTCTTTAGGTAAATCAAGGTATTAAATGCTTGAAATATACCTAATATGACATAATATAGACAGATCACTAGAGAAAATGACAGAATTCAAAGATTTCGACCAGAATTATCACTTTCAGGACTCTTGATTCTGTCTGTTTTTTCTGATATGATTGGGTTCAAAAACCAAGGCACATGTGGACGCTAAACATAGAAAAAACTTGGAATGGCCTAATCTGAAAAAAAAGTGCAACAATTACTCATATTAATATCAATTATATGCAATTATCTCTAAAATTCCCATGTAATGTGGACTCAAGTTTGGTCAGTTATGACCACTTTGGGATAGGGTGAGGCTACAATATGGGGTAAAATTTTTCATAGGAATGTAAACTAAAACGGGGAAAAATGATAGTCTTCCATGAATTGTACGTCCTTTGGACTGTTATTGCTTAACTGTGTTGTTCCCAAGGTATTGCCCATGTGACAACAGTATATACCAGTACTTGCTTTCTTTATTAAAGTGTTTTTTTTTGTACACAGCTGAGTGACCCCCAGACCTCCGGCTGATTTTCCCAATTTCACCAGAAAGGGTTTCACCCAAAACCTAAATTGATCCCTGAGAGAGTCTTTAATCAGAGACATAACATGATTTAATAAATTTGACTAAACACCATCACCACACGGCCATATCTCTGCTGTTTTTTGTGACCTTCACCTATGCAGCTCAATCCTGATCTTAAAAATTTGCATAACGGCTAATTTTTTTAAATGGACATTTGGACTGACGTTTTCTTGTTAGATATCAGAGCAGGGAAGTTTTTAGCTCACCTGAGCCAAAGGCCCAAGTGAGCTTTTCTGATCAAAATTTGTTCGTTGTCTGTTGTCGTTGTTGGCGTTGTCTTTAGCTTTTCACAATTTCATCTTCTTCTCCAGAACCACTGGACCAATTTCAACCAAACTTGGCACAGAGTATTCTTGGGTGAAGGGGATTCAAGTTTGTTCAAATGAAGGGCCACGTCGTCTTCCAAGGGGAGATAATTACAGAATAGTGAAAAATTAATGGCATCTTTTAAAAATCTTCTTCTCAAGAACCAATGGGCCAGGAAAGATGAAACTCATGTGGAATCATCGTCAGGTAGTGTAGATTCAAGTTTGTTCAAATCATGACCCCTGGGGGTGGGGTGGGGCCACAATGGACGATCAAAGTTCGACATAGGAGTATAGGAAAAATCTTTAAAAATCTTCTTCTCAAGAACAACAAAGCCATGATTGGTCATATTTATGTGAAAGCATCCTCAGGTGGTGTAGATTCAAATTTGTTCAATTCATGACCCCCCCGGGGTAGGGTGGGGCCACAATGGATGATCAAAGTTTTACATAGGAGTATATAGGAAAAATCTTTAAAAATCTTCTCAAGAACAGCAATGCCTTGATTGGTCATATATATATGGAAGCATCCTCAGATAGTGTAGATTCAAGTTTGTTCAAATCATGACCCCCAGGGGTAGGGTGGGGCAACAATGAAAGTTTAAACTTGTAGGAAAAGAAGCCACAGTTAGTCAAAGGAATATGTAAGCATCCTTAGTTAGTGAAGATTCAATTTTGTTCAAATCATACCCCTCACCCCCCCCCTCCCCCACCCCTTTAGGGGTAGGTCGGGACCACTTATGCATGTAAGCTTTTTTATACTGAACTGAGTTTTGATTTTTTCCTAGCCACAGTGCTCAGGTGAGTGAGGTGGCCCGTGGGCCTCTTGTTACTGTTCTTGCCGACAGGTCCGACAATTTTGACAACTCTGAACAAATAAGGTTCTCATTACGCATTGGTCATCTAGAGAAAGGTAGAACAATGTGACTTGAGTGAGCATTTTGACATGTTTGCCTATAGTAAGTGAATTAAGTGCAGCTATATAAGTGTAAAATAATATGTTTTTATTTTGCAGCATGGGTTCAGAATCTGATATAGATGAGCTACACAGCTCCATTTTAAGTCTGTGCGAGGAAGGTTCTCACACTAGGACATTTAACCAGACACTCAACTTGTCTCCGATAAAATCAAATGATAAAAGTAACGTGGATACTCCATCTCATACAGTCACTCAAGCCAGGACACCTAACCAGACACTCACCTTGTCTCCTATTAAATCAAATGATAAAAGTTGCATGGATACTCCATCTCATACAGTCACTTCTGTTGTGCAATGTTCAGCTACTGAATTCACACCTTCCCTTGATCCTCATTCAGACAAAAGATTTTCATTCAGAACTCACAGTACACCATTAGTGCCAAAAAAGTTATGTTCAAGTCCTTTGACGTCAGAGCCTAAAGAAATGACTGTTTTGGAGCAAGAGGACACATCTAGAACTGTCTTAGAGCAAGCAGACAAAGTTGGGACTGTGTTTGAGGGAGAAAATGCGGCTAAAGACATACATGAAATGACCTATGAAGAGCTGTTGTCTGAGATCACAATGTTGTGTGAGCTGCCTCAGAATCATTTGTTGAGTTCAGAAGGTCCCTCAAAGTTAAAAATGGAGGATTCCTTAAAAGATCTGAATCAGACGCAACTAAGCAAAATAGACATGGATAGCATTTTATCCCAGTCCTATGTACAAAGAGACAAGCCACAGAGAGAAGAGCAGAAGAAAGAAGAAACACCTGGGAGATTCGCAAGTTTTTCAACCACAACTTCAACAAGTTTAGTTGTTATAGATGAGGAAGAAGATATTGAACTTTCAGAGGATATTCTTGGACTGGATGACTTCATTTATAGTGAGTTAGATTCAGATGACAATATTGATGAAGAAACTTTGTTATCAGGTGAGGATACTGTAATTGCTGATAAAACACTGAAGAATGACAGAAATGTTGCAGTTTTGGAGAAAGCAACTGAAATACCAAAAACAGAATCGGAGACGACAGCTTCTAGATCAGGTACTGATGACTTAGATGCAGAGGATAAGGGAATCAACATATTAAAAACTGTTAGCACAAGTGAAATAGGCCAGAAGACAAATGTTGATGTTAATAAAAACACTGAGTGTGATACTCAGAAGAGAAAGGAAAATGATTTTGAAGAAAAACATTCCAAAAAGACAAAACTTACAGATTCTCATGAGGATGAGTCTGAAGGAATGGTTAAAAGGAATCTAGAGAGTGACAAAGCCCAGTCAGATGTAGAATATGTTGTCATCAACTTGCTGTTGGACTCGGAATCAGATTTTGATAAGTCTGATCGAGATGAAGAGGAGGCTTCTAAAAGAAGAAATACAGAGACTTCAGTGTTAGATAATAAGGTTAGAGTACCGATGGTGTGTGTCAGTCCACTGATAAAACATGCTGATGAAAGTGTCGAGGATGCAAAAGATTCTCAAGACAAAGAGACTGATGAGAAACATTACGCACAGTTAAATTATGAGTCAGAGAGATCTTATTTAAAAAATGAAAATGAACTTACAAGGAGTGTGATGAGAAAATGGAATTCCAGTGGAATCCATAATCCTGATAAAAATTTGACCTATGCAACTACTTTAAGGAAAAAGACCAATGGCATGAAAGGTCGATTGGAAGGATTTCACTTATCTACCCTACATGGAGATAACAGTGGGGCCGACCCATATATGAAAAGTCATGTGAATACAAGATCTTTGGCAGAAAATATTAACAAATTGAAAATGGACATGAATGACTTGGAGTTTTATTATTATAACAGACTCCAGGAGATGAAGTGTATCTTCCATGCAAAGATGGATGATCAAATTGACCGGAATAGGAATCGCATACGACACTTACGAATTCAACAGGAAATGGAGGCGAGATCTGTTCATTATCAGCATTTTGATCTGATGATTAAACAGTGTAAACTCATGCAGCTGAAAATGGACCATCAGGCACAAATGAATCATATGAAGTGTGTTGCTTTCAGTGAAGAACAAGCTGTACAGGATGAATATTCAAGGAAAGTGGAGATGGAGAGGATAAGATATGAGGAGCAATACAATAAGTTGTCCTCTCTTGTTAAACAATTAACTCAGAGGGAGTTTGAAGAGAAAGATGACCAATTTGGACCACATATCATGGTTGATTTGGTCAAGGCTCCATGTAGGGACAACAATGAGAGAAAGTCTCTAGTCTCTGTGTGTTTACCTTTGGACATTGCAAATGCTATTATAAAAGAGGATGAATTTTATGAAAGATTTTACGAGTACTAGTATCGCATGACAGTGAGAAAAGATTACTCATATTTGAGAACTATTTAATTACTGAAGTCATTTTTATTTTTAGTTCATCTTAGGGGAAGGCTCAAGTGAGCTTTTCTGTTTGAAATGTCCGTTGTCGTTGTTGTGGTAAACTTTTCACATTTTCATCTTCTCCAGAACCACTGGGCCAATTTCAACCAAACTTGACACAGAGTATCCTTGGATAAAGGGGATTCAAGTTTGAACAAATGAAGAGCCACGCCCTCTTCCAAGAGGAGATAATAAAGAAGTAAAATTTGGTGGGGTCATTTAAAAATCTTCTTCTCAAGAACCACTGGGCCGGAAAAGACGAAATTTATGTGAAAGCTTCCTGACAAAGGTTAGATCAAGTTATTGAAATCATGACCACTAGGGGGTAGGGTTTGGCCACTATGAGTGATCAAAGGAAAAATCTTGAAAAAAAAATTCTCAAGAACAGCAAAGCCATAATCAGTCATATTTATATGGAAGCATCCTCAGAAAGTGTAGATTCAAATGTGTTCAAATCATGACCCCCAGGGATAGAGTGGGCACCAATGGGAGATCAAAGTTTTACATAGGAATACATAATAAAAATCTTTTTCCCAGGAACAGCAAAGTCATGATTTGTCATATTTATAGAAAGTGTATAGATTCATGTTTGTTCAAATCATGACCCCAGAGGATAGGGTGGGCTACAATTGGTGATCAAGTTTTACATGAGAATATATTGGAAAAGAATCTGTTGATAAAGATCAAGAAGGGCCATAGTAACTAAGGTGAGCATTGTCACCCATGGGCCTCTTGTTTGTTCACCTGAGCCTTAGCCCAAGTGAGCTTTCCTGACCACCAGTTATCTGACCTCCCTCTATCCATCCATCCATCCATCTGTAAACTAAAAATCACATTTTCAATAGGGCTGGGATGATTCAACATTTTATCAATACACATCACTATAATTGAGCCACGATACGAAATGTACCAGATATGTTGAATTGGTTATAAAATCTTTTTTTTGTATTGAAATGAACAAAACATTTCTTCACAAATAAGAATAATTTATTCAAAGAATTGTATATCTGTTGTAAAACAAAATAATTTTACACAAGTGGTATTAATTATTATGTATTTCATATTTATATTTAGCATATTTATTTTATATATTAAACCCAAGCAAAGAAAAACAAGTCAGAATTTTTATGCCCCAGGATCGAAAGATCCCGGGGGTATATTGTTTTTGTCCTGTCTGTCTGTCTGTTGTCAACTTTAACCTTGTCCATAACTTTTGATTGGTTGGAGCTATGACTTTCATATTTCACATGTGTATTCCTTGTGACAAGACCTTTCTTTGGGTACCATCATATTTGACCTTTTGTCCTTGACCTTGGAGTTTGACCCACTTTTGCAAAATTTTATGAGACTTTAACCTTGCCCATAACTTCTGAACTGTTGGTGCTTGGGGTTTCAAGCTTCTCATGTGTGTTCTTTGTGACAAGACCTTCCTCTGGATGTCAACCATTTTGACCTTTTGACCTTGACCTAGGAGTTTGACCTACTTTTGAAAAACTTTAACCTTGGCCATAACTTTTGAACGGTTGGAGCTAGGGCTTTCATACTTCACATATGTAATCCTTGTGACATCACTTTCCTTTGGATTCCAACCACTTTGACCTTTTGACTTTGACATTGGAGTTTGACCTACTTTCGAAAAACTTTAACCTTTAATCAAAGTTTTACATAGGAGTATATAGGAAAAATCTTCAAAAATTTTCTTCTCAAGAACAGCAGAGCTGTGATTGGTCATATTTATATGGAAGCATCCTCAGATAGTGTAGATTCAAATTCGTTCAAATCAATAACCCCCCAGGGGTAGGTGGGGCCACAGTGAAAGTTCAAACTTGTAGGGAAAAAAGTCACAGTCAAAAAAATACGTAATCATCCTTAGTGTAGATTCAATTTTGTTCAATTCATACCCCCCCCCCCCCCCCCCACTCCCTTTTAGAGGTAGGTTGGTACCACTTATGTATTTAAGATTTCCAATAGTAAACTGATTTTTGCTTTTTTCCTAGCCATAGTGCTCAGGTGAGCGATGTGGCCCCTGGGCCTCTTGTTAACAGTTGCAGCTAGGGCTTTCAAATTTCACAGGTATATTCCTCGAGACAAGACTTTTCTTTGCGTACCAACATTTTTTATCTTTTGGCCTGGATTTTGACTTGCATTTGTGAAACTTTAACCTTCGCCATAAGCTGCTATATGGGGGCATCAATGTTTCACAAACACTTCTTGTTTTAATGATATTTCGATATTTCTTCATATGTATTGATATGCGTATCATCCTCAAACAAAATCGATATCTTGATATATCGTCCCAGCCCTAATTTTCAACCTCTAAGCCAGTTTTATTCAAACTTTGGTTGAAGAGAATTTGGGTTCAGTGAAGGGACACTGTCACACACCTTTTTTAAGGGGGAGATAATTAAGGAAATGTGAGTATTTGGTTCCAATAGAATGATGCTTAGCAAATAACTTTGGACTTAATTTTGTCTCTTCACCTTATATATTATTATTGTCGATGTTGTAAATTATGTGTAAGATATTTTGGATATGATTAATGAATTGGTCAGGTGATCATTGATGGGTAAAGTGCATTTTATCTACAAATTTTGATAAAAGAAATGCAATAAAAAAAGATACATGTAGATGTGATTTCTAGCTGATACTGGAAGAGAATTTTTTAATGGTTTAACACTGTTGAAAATGTTTTTTCAATGTTTTCTTTTAAGAAATAATGTTCAAATTACATTCATTATAAGTCAATTGTTAATTTTTAGATTTATCAATTACAGTTGAATTTCTTTTGAAAGACAGTATATCAAACTAATAGAAATATGACAAGGCAAAACACAATTAAAATTTAGGACTTAAAAAATTCTATCTTGAATGCCTGTACATAGAAGAATTATTATATATTAAAAATAAAAAAAATCTTTCAAGTTAAAAATAAGGGGGGGGGGGGGCAAATAAGCTTCAAAAAGCCTTCACTTACAGGTGGTATATATATATGCCATGTAATAACATTTTTCATTGTTTTTTGTTCCTTCTTTTATGAATAAAAAATAAACTAAAGGCATTTGTTATTTTTTGTATTTTAGTTGTATAGCCACTAAGCCAGAGTATTCACAACCCTAATACTTGGTACATGGAAGTACATGAAATGAACTGGATCCATTGGACCAGACAAATATAATCATACATGTAATGTTTGAATGATAATCATTTTTTTTTAAATTCTGTACAAATATGGTTGTAGCTGGGGAATTCAATTTGGAATAGAGAGAGAGAGATACTCCGATTCACAGTAAGCCTTGCTCATACTTGAGAGTTGTTGCCCATTCAATGACTTTAGGAAGGAAGAGGAAGGACAACTGTTGACGCTTTGATCTACTCAGACAGTAATCATTTAAATTTCCCATAAATGACACAGGTTCTTTCAGAGGTTGTGGGTGTGCTATGCTGTTTTTTTTAAATACATATAAGAGATTAATTTTATTGATGGAAGTGGCATTAAATACATTGGCGTGAACACAATAACAACACGCAAAAACAATGGTGCAATATTGTGATAAAGGAAAAAAAACCCATTAAAGAGCCGTTTTCTAATACCATTCAGTAACTTCTCTGTTTTGAAAGTCTTTTGTGATCTGATTATGAACCCACTTCCAGTAATTAAACGCCCTCCCAGGGATGAGTTAAAGAATTTATTGGTATAAAATTTGTAAATAAAATGAAAAAAGGAAATTATAAGATAGGAAAGTGTTTTCTGTTCATAAAAGGAATCAAAGTACAAAATAATCAAATGCATTACAAAGTATCATAGGTACGTTCTCCGTTAAACCGTTTGAAAGTACATGTAAATTATTAATGTGCTTGAAAGGAAGGTCGAATATCTTATTTTTAATTTTTTTGTAACAGAAAACGTTGAACATAGTTTTTTTTGCTACAAAATGCATTACATTGTCAATTTACTATTTAGGTCTTGCGTATATTTTACACGTTTATGTGACATTTCCCGCGAAATCGCGCACCGACTCCTTAGCATCATGTAACTATGGTCACGACGCTGCCTTGTCGTTATGGATGTTACTCCGCGATAAAAGTTCAATAGACGTCCTCTGAAAATCAATTAAATTACTTTCATAAAAGACTTTACGTTGCATAAACATTTTCATAATCTTTACTAAGCAATCTCATTGGTTTTAAACTGTATTAGATTAAATTTTAAAGACGCACAAATAGTTTGTAAGAGTGACGTATTCATACGCGCTACCGGAAACGGTCTGTTACTTGTGAAGTTGTGAAGGACGGGATGTCGCCCGTCTGATCAGTAGATCGTAGAGTTAGTATATTAGGATTACTTTACTTTAGCAGTGTTTTTAACGATGGAGACTACAGAGCAACAGGATGGGGGACCAAGTGAAAAGGAGTCCACTAAACCCCCGAGTCCAAAGCCTGATCAAGAAGTGGCACCTCCTTTGGTTTCAGTGAAAGGTAGGACTCAGCATACAGATATTGGACCCCCTTGAAGATTTTGTTCATGCTGTATTTCATTTCATTTCGTGGCTTATTAAAGTAAATTTAGAATTTAAAAAAAGGACGATTATTATTATAATTTAGAAATTAAATTAAACTTAGTCGTTGATAATGAATTATAAAAAATGAAATTTGAATCTGCCCATGCCCCCTCTTAAAACTAGTTTCTCTCTCTATATATATATATCAATGAGGCCCAATTCCTTGTAAGAGAATTTTCAACATTACATTCAATTAGCATCTTCTTCAAGCGATTTCTTGACATATGGATACTCAGATGAAAGTTTCAGTAATGATATAGGTATGTGAGAGATTTGGATGGTACATGCATGACTCTTAAAGATAGACAACAATTTTTGTGGGAGCATGTGTTGATCACAATAGTATTTGGATGCACATTGCATTGATCTCAGTAGTTT